GCAGATAGCAATTTTTATTAAATGCAGAATGAATCAAACACTTTTTCAGAGAAGAAGCAGGTTTTAGAATTTAACTGTGCTTGTTCTTTATTTTTGTATTGCTATAATCAGATTTTCAGGAGCTGAGGCAGTTGATACTAGGCAGATGATAAACTCACGAGGACCTTTGAGAGTTGCTTTACAAAAGAAAACTTTTAGCCAATAATGGTTTGCATTGTTGATAACATAGTGCAGAATTTTCTGTCATGTAGGTGAGTTCTTAATCATAAGGCCAGGGTTTTGGGGCTCTTCCGAGTAGATAAACAAGTGAGTTCACAGCATGGCAAGTTATCATTTCCCCAGTTTTTGCAAAGGCAGCAATTCTGTGAAATTTTGGGCAAAATTCCTTTTGTCCAGAAAGTAGACCTGACAAGGGGACCAGATGCTGGAATGTGCCAAACTTGCAAAGAAACTTTTAAAATCCCTTTTAAATTATTTAACTAATTAAATAACTTTAATTATTTTTTCTGCTTAATTGATATGCAATTGTAGATATTTGTGGGGAATAGTGTGATAAATCAATACATGTATACAAAAGTAATGATAAGATCAGGGTAATTGCTATTACCATCACTGAGTCTTTTGTTATTTCTTTGTGTAGAGAACATTTAAAATCCCCTCTACTAGCTATTTGGAAATATTAATTTTCATCATGTAGTTACTCTACTGTAATGCTCTATAGAACAGTAAGGATTATTCCTTGTGTCAAGCTACACCCCTGTACCTGTAAAGCATCCTGTCTCCAGCCCCCTCTCTTGCCTCCCCTCCAGTAACCACTATTCTGTTCTCTACTTTTACAACATTAATATTTTTAGCTTCTGTATATACATGAAATACAGATACAGCATTTGACTTTCTCTTCCTGGCTTATTTCACTCGGCATAATGTTCTGCAGCCCCACCCGTTTTACAGCAAATGAGAGTATTTTACTATCTTTAATCTGGTACAATTTTTCTTGTCCATGTGATGTCCAGTTGTCCTGAGTATATGGGAGACATGTAGTCAGGACAAGTAGGTAGGATGAGAGAAGTGGGTAAGATTTTCTATTATGTTTGTTACCAATACTTAGATCTCCTGTAAAACTGATGTGTTATTTGCAAACTGTGGAAAGGTGATGTACAGGAATTTATGCAGTATCAATCCAATGTACAAAATAACAAAACCTTTCAACTCAGGTGAAGTTCAAACTCAAAACTTATTTACTTTTAGGTTAGTTTGAGATTTGGATCCATCCTTTTCTCTCATTTGAACATTCCCTACTGAAATGGAAACACTAAAAAAAGGTGAGCATTAGACCCTGATCAATCATCTTAGTTCAGAGTTGCTCTGAAACCAGTTCCTGAAAGTCCTTAGAGTGTCTCCTATCACTACTGAACTAATGCTTCTTGGACATTATTCAACAAAGTAGTCAGTATTACTCAGGGTACAGAAATTACTGGTGTCAAGGCTGCCTAATATGTGTTCTTGGATCTAAATAAGGTGTAGTTTACAAACATTTTAATTTACGGCCATGGATTTTATCCACTAACTTCAATTCAGTAGAAACTATAATTTGATGCAAGCGTTCATGGTACTGAGAAACTCTGCCTCTTTTACTTAAGCAACTAGCAGATTTAGGTCTCCTTTTTCACAGTTGTACACTTCCTGGCCTCCTTTGAACTGGTACTGTATGAGATCAAAGAGATAATAATTCTAATAAATATTAAACTGAAAGTTAAGCTCCCTTTTCTGGTTCTTGTTATAATTGGAAAGAATTATCTCACTTACGAGATGAATGAAAAATCAGGCACAGGGCTGGGGATTTAATGTAGCTCAGGGGCTCCCTGGCAAAAGCAAGGTCTTGAGTTCGATCCCTGGTAAGAAAAAGAGAAAGAAAAATCACAGCGAGTCTTTGTATTCCAAATATAAATGTTGATATCTACTTGAATTTTTAAAATATCACATAGTAAAAAGTGATTGTAAAAAGTTGCATTTAGTAACATCCCTTAAGCCATCTTCTGGCCTTACGATCTGGGGGTGGGAGGGAAGATGCCATCTAACACCCCTGGCCTCTTGGCTGTTGTTTCTTATTGCAGAAAGGGCCTAAGACGATGGACGATGGTATCCACTCCTGTGCTACTGTTGCGCTTTCTTTGTTCATGTATGTAGTGTATGCTGACACCCGGAAATCATTTTGCTTTAGAGCAGGTGGCAAAGGCAAACATCTCTCCCTCCGCTTTGTGAAGAGTTTGGCCCCTCCCTCAGCAGACTGGCCCTCCCCCAGCTGCCTGCTTTCCTGGCGTAGTCCTGACCTCACAACTGCTCTCCAGTTTAGTAGTCCCGTGGAAGCTACTAGGGTGATTTTCTCCCTGCCTTCAACTATGGCCATCAACTTTCCAGTCTCTAAAAAAAAGAAGCAAAGGAGAGCAAAAGGAAAACTAAAAGCTGGTAAAGTACATGACAAGTGACCTACTCTTTTATTTCTGCTTCATGGTACTTTCTCAGACACATTTTGTAAGGCAAAGAAATGAGAGACTTGGGATGCAGCTCTGCTCTATGAAGGTTCTAGATGATTTCAATACTGGTTTCATTTTAAAGAATCCAAGCGTTGTTAGGATTACCAGTTACCAGTACAATTATGAGATTCAAAATCTAAATCAGGCCGGAGGCATGACTTAATTTCCTCATAAATACAATAGGGTTAGCTTTTACCTATTAGGATTTTACCTATTTTACCTAATAGGATGTTCCTATTTGACTGACCTTTAAAAAGTTGTATAGTTCTTTGACCTATGAATAGGGACTTTTGAAGCTAACCTATTACAGTAGTGATTTTAGAATTTATATAATTTTAAAACTGTAGAATTTTACTTGAAAGATGAGGAGTGTGAGGTCTAGGTCATATAGGTGACTTCTCCTGGATCATGCTATTTTCAAAACACAATTTCTGTCAGAATAGTGTTTTACACACAAAATAGAGCCATTTGGACCCGGGAGGGCAAAATACTGAATTTATAATAAAATGTCCTCATGTCTAAAGATAAGACCTAATAGTGGTAAGATGGTTACAAACTGTGTGATCTTGTGAAAGAAAGCGTGACTTCCCATTTCTAAAATAACACATACCCTTTTGCCCAATAGAAACGTGTGAGATGCAGATTTATAGATAATGTTGGCAAAAATGTTCACAAATTACAAGATTCAGCATAAATATTAATAATTATATGTATATATTGGACATATAGGTATGCATGAGTATCAATAAATTAATGTACTACTAATAAAATCATTTCTAACAAACTCATTCATCTGTTTCTCATGGATAATTCCCAGTTGGTGGTCATGCACAGAAGAGTTTCTGTAGACTACCAGGAGACCTCAGTGTCTTGGAGGTCAAGCTGCAGTTAAGACCGCTACACTGGACTCCAACTCAACCATTTGGAGGATTAATGTCCTTTTCCCACAGGGGATTGAGAGACAATGCCTTGGAAGGGCAAATTCAATGGGGATATACAACTATTTTCTGCTTCACAGTTAAGATATTCTTTGAATCTCATTGAATATTTACTGGGATTGACTACTCTCTGTACAATTTAGAAGAGTAAACATAGTGCTAGTTTCTTGTAATTCAGATATTCATAGGAATGGTAAGTGCATGTCAGCTCAAGAGCGCTCTTCAGTTAGCTGATGAGAGCAGCTTAGAGAACCGTGCAGAAAGAGATCTTGAGTCAGAGTGCAGGTCATCTGGACAGAAGCCACAAACAATTTACCAGTGTTTGCCATAGGCTCAGGTGGGGACAATATATGTACACAGTAGAAATACAGCTGTGGCTTTGGTTATGATAGTGGTGTTACCAAGAAACCTTGAGCAGGATCTTCAGTCATTCTGGCCCTTGGTTGTCCTCATGTGCCAAAGAAATATCAGCATGACCAAGTTTCCTTCCACTGCCCATCTGGTTCTTACATCTTTTGTTTCAACTCAAGTACACCTTCACCAAGAAACATGACTTTCCTTAAAGACCACAAGGGTGACCTTCCTTAATGACCACTCAGGTGTAATTTTACCCTCCTTACTTTCTAGGGTCTTGCGAGTTTAGATTCCAGAGAAAATGTGTAAAAATATAAACTGGAAAAGGGCCAGGGATTTAGCTCAGTGGCATACATAAGCGCCAGCCTTGTAAGTGCGCCGTGGTGAGTTCCATCCCAGGTACCCCCCAAATAAAAAAAAAAAATAAATAAATAAAATAAATAAATAAAATGTCATTTAAAATGAACTGGAAAGGCTGCATAATATTAAGCCACAATAATAGCTTCAGCAACCCCAGTAGTAAGCACTCTAGAAAGTTAAAAATATGAAAGAAACTCTTTTCTATTTGAAGAGCATTTTCAGAACATTATTTTGGCTATAGCAAAGGAAAATAAAATTAATATTGATATTTTTAAAGTATGGAAGCTGAATGTGTTTGACTTGGAACCTTTTATCATCCCTCAGTGGTTCTCAGGATGAGAGTACTGCCGAATTTTCTTTCTCCATTAAGAAAAAGGAATTAACATGATTGTTTCTTTTCTGTTTGTTATAAAAATTTAGAAAGTCTTTTTTTTTTCCATCTCCTAAAGTCAGTTTTAACATTGACACAGATGGTTTTTTGGCTTTATTTTAGCTAAATTGTTTTTTCCAGTTTTTGTTTAAATACGGTCATTCCATCTGTCGTAACGTGAGTGCAAATGATACGGGACCCCAGACAAGTGGGAAGTGAGATCTCCTGAGCTTGTCCAGAGAGAGGTGTGGAAAGCCCTCACATATTGCAGACATCAGAGTTTTCCTGATTTTGGAGTTTAGGGTTTTATTTTCTTACACACTGTCATCATGGAAGGCTGATAGGCATCTTTCAAGGTCAGGAGAGGGTATTAATGAACTTAGCACATGCTTGCACTGGCTTTGGAGGAAAGCCCACTCATGATCTCTGGGCCTCTGTTTTCAGATCAGACCCCGACCCCCACGAGGTTCCTGAAGAACTGTGAGGAGGTGGGCCTCTTCAGCGAGCTGGACTGCTCCTTCGAGCATGACTTCAGGAAGGTTCAGGAAGAGGAGAACAGCAAGCGGGTAGGTTCGCTTGGGTGGACACCAGGGGAGGTAGACCCTGAACACCTTCTGGAAGACGTCTACGTGGAAGCTGGGTAGTCCTATAAATTACACAGACTTGAACTTGGGACAGTATTTAATCTAGTGCAAGTGTTTGTTTAACTTTTTTAAACTGACAATTCTTTGGTGGTGGTATAATCCAAAGTTTTTGTATAGCCTTAGACAAATAGTTATTTAAAAATGAAGTTCAAATCCCTCCCTGCAAAAGTTACCTAATTCTTAAAGGTGTGTCAGGCAAAGTCACAGACTGTTTTTAGTCTCACCCAATTGTATTACTTTGCTAAGTGTTTAACAGCAAGACTTATGTGGGTGCGTGCACAAGAAATGAGACAAAGGGTCAAAAATCAGGCGAATAATTGTAGAAAAGAGGATTTCATTTGATTTTGGTCCAGGATGTAAATGTCTGTCTTCCATAATCTTTCCAGTCCTTCTCTACCAGATTTATAATTACTTCCTGTTCATGTTACCTGGTCAGATTAGTGAACATCTGTTGTTGCTGAAACAAATAAGTTGGCTACAAATAGATTCGCTACACTTGTTCGTAAAAATATTAGAAAGTCACTTAGTGAAAGTCTTAGGATATATTGGAGTTTTTATTATAACATTGTAGTGGAATTTTAAAATCACTTTACAAGATTAATGAAAGGAGATGTGGTCATAAGTAAATATGACAAGAAGGCTTTTTAGTATTCTTTTCACTGCTATTGTAGAGCATTAGTGCATGCCCACAATGTACTAAACAACAAATTAGACACGGTCCATGAACGGAAATGTAAAATGTGGAAGATGATTGAAAGGAAGGGCCAGCTAGGTGGTAATGAATTCTGAAGTTCCAGCTGTTGCACCCACAGAAGCAAGTTTAAAAGGCTCTGACATTTCTCTGAGTGTTTCAAAGGCTTTGAGGCTTCCTCTACATAAAATCATAATAATCCCTCTGTACCAGATTGTTCTTGTCACATTCTCACTTCTTGAGGGCCCAGGGCTTGTACTCAGACTGTACTGCTTTAGGAAAAGTCATGAAAAGAGAAAATCTCAATCAACTCATTGTGTTTATAATTAGTCATTTATAGTTTATCCTCTCTCCACGCCCCCATCCAACAACATTGAATGCTCCCTTCCTTTCCTTTTTCTCTTTCTCTGTCTGTTTCTCTCTCTCTGTGGTATTGGAAATTGATCTCAGAGAGCACGCAGCTACTTCTCCAGATCTTTTCATTCTTGTAAACACTTAAACATTTTTACAAGTGTCTTACTTTACTGCCCAGCCCAGCCTCAAACTTCTGATGCTCCTAACTCTACCTCTTAAGTAACTGTAACTGAAGGTGTGTGCCACTCAGCCCAGCCACCCTTTCCTCCTTTTTGAATAAACATTCATTTAACAATTATTATTTGCCTAAGCATTTTAAAAATTAACTTGATAAAAACAGAAGTTATAATTCTATAATCTCTTGGAGTGGACGTAGATTTTTAAAAATCCATGAAAATAGCAAGGGAGAAGGAGAAAGTTTCCTGTAATGAATTTCAGCTAAGTAATCAATTTAGGTATTTTGATAAATAAGTACTTATTGAAAAAAGATAGTGTCTGGGGGAGGGTGAGTTTAAGTTCATTTCTCCAGGTAGTGCAAATTAGCTTCTTGGGTTAAACTGAGCAGTGAGGATGATGTGTACTTGATCCATATTGACCTATTTCTTATGGACTGGTTTGAATTGAAGCCTGAAGGCATTTTACCAAGAACAGTTTTGTGAAGTCCATGGCAGGGGTGTGGTTTTTCAGTATTCTCCATTATATTATTCATGATTTCCTATACGAAGCCCCTCGTAAGGAGTTCTTGCAGGTCTGAATTCCAGGAAATGGTTTGTTTCCCTTGAGGAACTGAAATATTTTCTCCTTGTAGACGTGAGACTCATGGAGCTGGTTCTGTTTCTCTTTTCGTTTGGATTGCTAGATTAACACAAAGCCAAGTTTATTGCTTAACTTGGAGAACTTTTTAGAATACTATGATGAGCAATAATTTATTTCCCTCCCATGCCAGATTTTCAGTTCTAGTGTATATTTTCTCTGGTTCTGATTTTTAATTTAAAAATAAAAACACTTCTGTGTTACGTGCGTTTTATGATTTGTTTTAAATCCTTGTGAGTTGAGGGGAGGATACAAATCATTACATTTAAAAATTAAAATAATTACCCTAGTTGCACTGAGAGAGAAGGCTATCACAGCTGTAGAGCTGTTTGTTTTCTGTCTTTGAAATGTTGCTCATAGATACGGGATAATTTCTTGAGGATCCATGGTAAGGGGCTCCGCAGCAGCCTCTGCTGTGGCCTGGGGATGGTCTGTAACGACAGCACCAGCTGTGCCAGAGCCACATTTATAGGCACAGGAAGCTGACAACTTTCAGGCTGTTGAAACATCCTCTTTCTTTGTCTTATTTCCAGCCAGAAGGCCTTGACAGGGGATCTTCCTGAGGCCTATAGCAAGGGACTGATCCACCTGACAAATGGGCTGGGATGGTGGCTCCTACTTCAGGAGCAGGAAAATGAAGAGTGAGATTAATGATCCCCAACCTGACAATATACTCTTACCTCCTCTGGACCACATTTCTCCAGTTATCAAGGGCCACCTCTAACCCCTGTTTCACTCCCTTAAAAATTCAGATAGTAGGGTCTTACTTATGCCTCATTTTGTTAGTCTTAATTGTTGCTCTCCCTTTCTCTTGTGCTCTTCTTTCGGATGATTATTTTGTTTTAATTCTGTATCTCAACTCTCTTCTGATTTCATTTGCCTCTGTATATTTTAACAAAAGACTTGGATTGGTTTACCAGCAAGTTTTCATAAAATACACGGTGGGTTAATTCATTTAGAAAAAGAAAGATCTCATTTGAACTTTCTAAGTACTTCACAACAAGATATTGAGAAAGTTAGGTTGGTCCTGACTTCCATCTTTAAATTCCTACCTGCAACTTGGTCTAGAAAATTCTGCTATAGAGTAAGTAGAGAACTGACCCTTGCTTAGTCTACATGGCTGTGTTCTGGGGAAAATTCTATTTAACAAATTCCTAGTCTTGACACATTTTCCCCAAATCATCCCATCCATGTGTGTATAGGATAAGGACAGGCTATGGCACTGCTCATTGGAAACGACTCAACATCTGCATATCTAACACATTCCACAGAGGCCCCGATTTTGTATAGCAAAATAAGTTCACAATTTCGTATCTCTTTAATACGTGTTTCCCCTTTGGAAAAGCATGTTTTAATTCACTAACAAGAATCACAAATTTCAGCATGCCTGTAATTTGGAACTCAAACTAGTCCCTATTCTAAAGCATATAAGATACTTTTGTTCATCAGGTTTCATTCATTAATGATATTTTGTGTTCCCACTGTATGCCAGGCATAGTCCAAGTCACTGGTGCACATACCATTGAATAAACATTACTGAAAAACAAACAAAAAGTTATTGCCTCCATGTTGCTTACTTTTGGTGAGGATGATAAACAATATATACATACAAGTGAGTATGTCAGCTGGAGGTAAGTGCTGTGGAGATACATGTAGCAGAGGAGTTCAAGGGGGCTAGGTTGGTCAGAGAGGGCATCTTTGGTAAGGGAACATGTGAGCAGAGACCTGAGGAGGAGAAGCCCTGAGCCAGCTGCAAATTGATCTGAGTTTAGGGAATACAAGTGCCAAGGTCTCGGGCTTGATGATGGGCTGTGTGCTGGAAGATGTGTAAAAAGAGGCTGGTTTGGCTAGAGGAAAGTGAACAACAAGGACAGAGATTGAGTGTGAAAGGGCAGAACCAGGAGAGCCTTGTAAGCCATTTGAGGGGCTTGGCTTTCATTGCAAGCGAGATGGGGAACAGTTCTGAACAGGGGAGTGATAAGATCTGATTTAATGTTTTAGAAAGATCACTCTGGGGGCTAAATTAAAAGTAAACTGTTGGATGGCAGTGGCAGGAAGACAGCATCCCCAGTTAGCTGGGTATTTGAAAGAATGTGGATTAAGATGGGAGCAGAGTGGCCCAAATGGTGATAGGGGGGAAGGTAGTAGCTTCTGAGTATTGTCTGAAGACAGAGGCACAGGATTAGATTGCGGAGTGATGAGAAGAGAATTAAGGATGAACTCAGGCTTTTGGCAGCTAGAAGGAGAAGAGGAGGGAGACAGGGGAAAGTTGGGGAGGCTTGTTTTTAGACTTGTTAAGTGAAAATACTGGACTGGCAGATCAATACAGAAGCCTGACATTCAGTGGTAAGACCAATCTGGACATGCAGTTTGGCTGGCGTGGACATAGAGCTGGTATTCAGGGGGACTGGATAGGATGCAATCACCTGGGCCAGGAGGAGATGGAGGTGAAATTGGACTGAGCACGGAGCTGGACAGTCTCCCTAATTCTTCAAGACAGAGGCAAGCTCTCCTTGGTGGCCAGAGATTATTCAGAAGATCATTAGGCATGAAGAAACAAGGGAACTGGGGACCACAGGCCTTGAGAAAATGGTGAGAGGACAATCAGTGCTAATTTTGTATTCGATGTCAGAGGAAATTTTTAAAAAATGATTTTTTAAAAAAGAAATACATTCAAAGAGAAGACTGAATTGACCTTTCACGTCTAGGGTTTTTTTTAAAAAAGAAATTCAATTATCCATCTAAGTAGTAGGAGTTAACTTCATCATATTGTGTGTGTGTGCATGCACTTGTGTGTGTATGTGCGTGTATGTGTGTGTAAAGGAAGGAAGGGCAAATGCAAGGACAAGAAATGAACTCCTTTGTCTTGCCCAGAGAAATGTAACATTACAGCCTGACAGAGTTAAAGACCTTAAAGATGAAAAGCGTGCTGTGTAAGTGCTAAGTGTTGCTATTCTCCCATAGGACCTAAATATGACTCATTATGCTGATGCAGAAATAGCAAATTAGGACATTTCCATGCTCTAAAATTCCTACCCAAATGATGAAAAGTGCAATCTCTCCC